CAGAAACAAATACTAGGTAACAATGTAAAATATCTCTCTTATTGAGAGTCCTGGTCAAAAATATTTAAAAGCCATTATCTTAGAAGATGCAGTACAAGTGGTAATTGTGCTCTAAGAGAACAGGGTCCCAGACCAATTTAAAAAATGGAGAAGATCAGTGAAATGGAAGCCTTAAAGAGCTAAAGGGAAGTTCATCATGATGCATATAAATATAATGTTCCATGGAAATTGAGGATTAGTAATGGCTACAACAGGCTGCTGCTATAAGCCTTAGTTGTATTTCAGGTACCGCAGACTGTCATGTCTTCCTCACTTCCTATAGCGTGGTGGGCCAAGAGAAAGCGAGCCAAAGTAGATGCAAAATTAAGGCAGCTTGAATATCTGTATGGTGGAGTTGTAGTGTATCAGCTGTACTCTAACTGGGGAATAACTTCATTGTGTGGAGTTAATACCTGTGGTGTTTCTTGAAGTCACTTTATTAGAAGCTTTCATCCTAAGTCCTTTGGCTGCTATACCAAAATAATCGGTCTGTTGTTGGGTCTTAGTATATATAGGTAATAAGATTGCATTTTAGGAAAAGAGCAGATGTAAAAAAAAGCAGTTTTGTATCTCCTAGGAAGTTCTTTCTCTCTTTTAGAGGAAAAATATTTGTCTTGTCTTTCTGAGGCATCCATAATTGAATCGTAAAACACTTAGTGCCTACCAAACTTGGGATGTCTACACAGGTGTTGGTAAATTCTAACAAGTGATGAAGACAAACACTGGATTGTGTGTACTTTCAGACTATACCCCCACTCTACAAAAGCAACAATTAAATATCACTACTAAATTTCATTGGCATAACCTAATGTTGTTTGTTTGTTGAGTGTTGTGCTAGAGACACTCAGATTTTATGCACTAATGAATATCTCCCAAGGGCCAGATTCTGTTTATCCAAGTTAATCAAAGTGAACCATGTCTTTCCTACTCTTTAAAAGGGTAGATGACAAAGCTCTCTTCTCAACTTGATCTTTAAAAGTGGCAAGAAATGAGAATGAGGTACATTTGCTTTAGTGTAAGGGTAATCATGTGCAAAGAAGTAAAGAAAATTTGTTGAGAAAACCATGCAGTTCTGCCAGCAGCACCATCCACACTTGGGCAGTGTTACAATAAAGAAGGAAATCTAGTGAACTGAACACATGGAAGATCTTAAGCTTGCCCCTGAAGTATGCACTTCATCCCACATTCAAGCACACTGCTCTCAATCAGATACTATCTATGAATTCTCATAATGCTTTTAGCCATGCTTACTAACAAGGAGGCCAAGGATATTGACATATCTGGCCACAGGAAACATAAAGGATATGATAGATGACATAACCAGAATCAGAAATCTAGGTAACCATGAGATATCTACAACATGACAGAGAATCATGGGAGTGTATTGTAACCCAGACAGGAGGCAGAGTGTTAGTTCCATGTGAAAATAGGGAGAATTGGTAAACATCATGGACCCAGGGATTCAGAATTCAGTTTCTGGAAAGGTCAGTGTAGATCAACTAATAAAGACAGTACTTGTGAATGGGTTGTGACTTTTGACCAGTGGCAGAGACTGTTTACTTTCTGTTGTAATTTTGTGATTTCTGTGTGTAGGTAGGCAAGAATTTATAGGAAGAGGTAGACCGTTAGGTGCTGGCGGATCTTGAATCTTGTACTCTTACCTTCTCACGAATGCATACTGATGGGATTTATGCAGGCACAATAAAAATATTAATATTAAAATGAAGACATTATTTGTTATATAAACATGACAGTTTATATTAATCAAGTGCTGGTATCATGGAGCACTGCTGCCCAGAAATAGTATCCTGTTAAAACAATAGTTTGTATCAGGTGATATTTATCTGATGTTGCCCATCCTGGGCATCAAGGGTCTTGAAACTAGCAGATGTCTATTTATAACAATACCCAAAGAAGTAAGAATTATGTAGCTTATAAATATAAATTTTTTCTGTGATATAACTAATGTAACTAATATAATTACATTTAACAAACCATGTAAAATGGAGATCTGATAAAAATTTCTGGTTTCTCTTCACCAGTGAAGTAAAATCTCTGTAGCTCTTTGTGGTTAAACTAGTAAGCCTCATTCTGGTCTGAATTTCCCTGCTTCCAGTTCTTCTGAACTCCTTCTCACTCATCATGTTTTTGTTCCAACATAAGATATTTACCTTGACTTAACCCTTTATCCTTGGTCTTTACTCAGGCATTTCATCTAAGGTGGTTCTGCAAAACCTGTTTCACCAAGTCTTTGATATGCTTATCTCCATAGATCAGGCTTCAATCAATCCTTTTCCTAACCTTAGCATTCATTTTTCTTCACAGTCAACATTCCATCCCATTGTGTTCTGTCACATTCTACAACTAATTCAGTGATGGAAGAAGGCTTTATTTTGAACCCTTTGTGCCTTTCTGATTGGGGTAGTTTCTCCCCTGAGCAGGAATGTGGATGCTGTCTCCCCACCATGTGGCACTGTAATGTGCCTCCAGTGGCAGCCTGAAAAATAGTTAAAACTTTTTAAGTCAGCGGTCACATTGGCTTCTCACACAAGCATTTCATTCAATCTTTACAACAACCCATGAGATAGATATTGTTATCATACAAAGATGAGAGAATTGACAAGAGTACAAACCAAATAAGTAGCAGAACTGTTACGGGGAACTCGGATCATCTGATTTAAGTCCCAGACTGTTTCCTCTAGAACAGTTTAAGTGACTACATGGCACAAAATCATTAGAACATTGGAAACATTCCTCTTAAACTTGGCCTTGGCCTTATAGTTTTTTTTATTTTAAAGTAACATAATTTTTCTGGTTTCATTTTTTTAAATTTTAATTTGGTTAGTTTCTGATGGGTCATGTTGTATAAAATAATTATCACTTATTTAATTAGAAGTATAAACAGTTTCAATGAATAAAAGCAGAAGCAAGTAGTTATAATGCAATCAGGACTTATGCAAATCAGTATTTAGCTAACTTTGAGCAATGCATATAATTATTATCCACAAATTGTTATAAAAACCAAAGGCATTAAACTAAAACAAAATAAATTTTATAAATAAAGGGTAGCTTATATAGGAGTGACATTCAAATATATTTATATACTAATAAAGTCCACCAATTTTAAAGAAAAATCTATTATTAAAAAAAACTTTTTCATTTTTTTTTTGTTTCAAGAAGTATTTTCTTATCTATGTGTTGTCATATCAAAGTCCTGGTACCAAACCAGATAAGCCATCTATAGGACTTATCAAACTTTATATTCTGAGCAAGCATTTTTGTGAGATATTGGATGGATATGAAAAGATCACTGATAGAAGAAAATACAAGAACATAGGCATTTATTTATTTACATATGATATGTCATATATAAGTATATGACATATACATATATTTATATTTCTAGCATATATAAATAGGCTTTCATGTTGAATATATCAATAACAATATATATACATATAAAGATAAATATATATATCTTGACATACAAACAGTATATGTCAATTAATATCTTTATTGTCTCAATTTAATGCTGCATAATTCTTCACAAATATTTCCAAGTGAGGTTGGCTTATAGTTTTAGGATACTGTTTTTATCAATTATCTTTTATACATTTTTGGTATGAGGGATATTTTCATCCTGTCAAGTTAAAGGGAAAGCTTTCTTTTCTTCTTTCATATTCCAGAAGACTTTAAACATTTAAATTTCTGTTTAATTAAGGAATGAAATTTTTTCTGTAAGCTGTCAGTGTCTTCAAGTTTCCTAGGTATAGTCCTTTGACAACTCTTTCACTTCTTTCATGGTTTTCATCTTTTCAAATGTTCCATTTACATTAATTTTAATCATTTATACTTTCTTAGAATATCATTTATTACCATACAGTAATAAATTCAAATTTATTATTGTAGAGCTTTACATAATTTTTTCTTAAAGACTTTTAATTCTCCCTAAAGTCTATTATTAACTTATTTCCTATTATATTACAAAATTGATACTTGCTCTTCTTTACCTTTGTTCAGAACTAGTAGGAATTTCATTATTATTAGTATGGACAAGTTCTAGAAATACATCAATGAAAAGTATCCCAATGGTTTTGCTAACTTATCGATTTCCATTTTTTATGAATTCCTTCCTCCTTGTTTCTTTTTTTTATTTTAATTTTTTCCTGTTTTCATTCTTAGGTTCACTTATTTCCCTTCTTTTTTATTTTAGATCAAGGCATTTTATGCTAAGGGACCATGACTTTTCCTCTGAGTGCAATTTGATCCCATCCCATATTTTTAATAAATCTATTGCTTTGATGTTCTTTTTTGGACATTTATACTTTCAATTTCCTGTGTAACTCAAGAATTATTCAAAAAGAATACTTTAATTTTTAAGTACTTTTATTTCCATATCTTTTAAAACTGACTTACCATTTTATTACATGGAGGTCAGAGAATGTAGTCTCTAATTTTTGTTTTTCTTTTCCCTTCCCTTTGATCATTTCAGCAAGACTAAAGAAACTGGGAGTCAAACATAGTAGACTTTGAGGACAGCATATTGGGCATGAAAGTTCTCTTTTGTATTTTGTACCGTAAAATATTTTAAAATAAGCTTAGTACTTACATAGGATAGCAGATAAACTATTATTGTTTTTTATCTGTCTACTAATGATATATCAATTTAAATTGTCTTAATATTCAACCAGGATTTCAGTTTGTCTCAACTCAGCAGCCTACTTGCATAAACTTAATACTTGAATTGGGTTTTTTATTTTTCCCTTCATATAGGAGCTCATTTTTCTGCTCCCTAACATGAAAGTAGTAGTCATGTTATTACTCATTTATGTAATATAATTAAAGTATTGATTAGCTTTTGTTTGCTATAATTTGGATTCACTTTTAATACTCAAATTTCTTATTGCCCAAATTCCACTTTTAAAAATATTGCTCTTTTGTTTGTTTCATTATTTTCACAGAACATGGTTGGAGAATGGGCCTTACCAGAAGAAATGGTTGATAATTTACCACCCTCCAACAATTGCATTTTGGGCCATGTGCTTCACAGACTGATTGAAAAATCCTTTCCTCAAGTCGAATCAACAGTGCCAGAATTACCTTCATTCACTATTAAAGGATGCTTACTGGGGAAAACATTCAGTGGAAAAACTACTGCTCTAAAGTCTCTACAAAAAGGTAGAATTTCTTTCTTTTTTTAAATTCATTTTTTGGATTCTATTTGCATTGACTGTAGCTTCAATGACTATGTCTGTAGAAAACGTATATGAGGATCTGCTCGTATAGTGGGAAGCTCTGTCATCAAAAATCTTATAGAGTGATCATATAATTTATTGTCCAAGTCATATACTTTTAGGAAAGTCTTTTTTTCACTTACTTTACCAATTGATTAAATGGGAAATTAATAATTTGTCACAAATATAAAAGAAATCCACTTAAAATTATGAAAGTTTTTATTTTTCACATGTTGAGTTATCACTCTCCCTTTAATGAGCATTCTTCTGAACTCCTTCTCACTCATCATGTTTTTGTTCCAACATAAGATATTTACCTTGACTTAACCCTTTATCCTTGGTCTTTACTCAGGCATTTCATCTAAGGTGGTTCTGCAAAACCTGTTTCACCAAGTCTTTGATATGCTTATCTCCATAGATCAGGCTTCAATCAATCCTTTTCCTAACCTTAGCATTCATTTTTCTTCACAGTCAACATTCCATCCCATTGTGTTCCGTCACATTCTACAACTAATTCAGTGATGGAAGAAGGCTTTATTTTGAACCCTTTGTGCCTTTCTGATTGGGGTAGTTTCTCCCCTGAGCAGGAATGTGGATGCTGTCTCCCCACCATGTGGCACTGTAATGTGCCTCCAGCGGCAGCCTGAAAAATAGTTAAAACTTTTTAAGTCAGCGGTCACATTGGCTTCTCACACAAGCATTTCATTCAATCTTTACAACAACCCATGAGATAGATATTGTTATCATACAAAGATGAGAGAATTGACAAGAGTACAAACCAAATAAGTAGCAGAACTGTTACGGGGAACTCGGATCATCTGATTTAAGTCCCAGACTATTTCCTCTAGAACAGTTTAAGTGACTACATGGCACAAAATCATTAGAACATTGGAAACATTCCTCTTAAACTTGGCCTTGGCCTTATAGTTTTTTTTATTTTAAAGTAACATAATTTTTCTGGTTTCATTTTTTTAAATTTTAATTTGGTTAGTTTCTGATGGGTCATGTTGTATAAAATAATTATCACTTATTTAATTAGAAGTATAAACAGTTTCAATGAATAAAAGCAGAAGCAAGTAGTTATAATGCAATCAGGACTTATGCAAATCAGTATTTAGCTAATTTTGAGCAATGCATATAATTATTATCCACAAATTGTTATAAAAACCAAAGGCATTAAACTAAAACAAAATAAATTTTATAAATAAAGGGTAGCTTATATAGGAGTGACATTCAAATATATTTATATACTAATAAAGTCCACCAATTTTAAAGAAAAATCTATTATTAAAAAAAACTTTTTCATTTTTTTTTTGTTTCAAGAAGTATTTTCTTATCTATGTGTTGTCATATCAAAATCCTGGTACCAAACCAGACAAGCCATCTATAGGACTTATCAAACTTTATATTCTGAGCAAGCATTTTTGTGAGATATTGGATGGATATGAAAAGATCACTGATAGAAGAAAATACAAGAACATAGGCATTTATTTATTTACATATGATATGTCATATATAAGTATATGACATATACATATATTTATATTTCTAGCATATATAAATAGGCTTTCATGTTGAATATATCAATAACAATATATATACATATAAAGATAAATATATATATCTTGACATACAAACAGTATATGTCAATTAATATCTTTATTGTCTCAATTTAATGCTGCATAATTCTTCACAAATATTTCCAAGTGAGGTTGGCTTATAGTTTTAGGATACTGTTTTTATCAATTATCTTTTATACATTTTTGGTATGAGGGATATTTTCATCCTGTCAAGTTAAAGGGAAAGCTTTCTTTTCTTCTTTCATATTCCAGAAGACTTTAAACATTTAAATTTCTGTTTAATTAAGGAATGAAATTTTTTCTGTAAGCTGTCAGTGTCTTCAAGTTTCCTAGGTATAGTCCTTTGACAACTCTTTCACTTCTTTCATGGTTTTCATCTTTTCAAATGTTCCATTTACATTAATTTTAATCATTTATACTTTCTTAGAATATCATTTATTACCATACAGTAATAAATTCAAATTTATTATTGTAGAGCTTTACATAATTTTTTCTTAAAGACTTTTAATTCTCCCTAAAGTCTATTATTAACTTATTTCCTATTATATTACAAAATTGATACTTGCTCTTCTTTACCTTTGTTCAGAACTAGTAGGAATTTCATTATTATTAGTATGGACAAGTTCTAGAAATACATCAATGAAAAGTATCCCAATGGTTTTGCTAACTTATCGATTTCCATTTTTTATGAATTCCTTCCTCCTTGTTTCTTTTTTTTATTTTAATTTTTTCCTGTTTTCATTCTTAGGTTCACTTATTTCCCTTCTTTTTTATTTTAGATCAAGGCATTTTATGCTAAGGGACCATGACTTTTCCTCTGAGTGCAATTTGATCCCATCCCATATTTTTAATAAATCTATTGCTTTGATGTTCTTTTTTGGACATTTATACTTTCAATTTCCTGTGTAACTCAAGAATTATTCAAAAAGAATACTTTAATTTTTAAGTACTTTTATTTCCATATCTTTTAAAACTGACTTACCATTTTATTACATGGAGGTCAGAGAATGTAGTCTCTAATTTTTGTTTTTCTTTTCCCTTCCCTTTGATCATTTCAGCAAGACTAAAGAAACTGGGAGTCAAACATAGTAGACTTTGAGGACAGCATATTGGGCATGAAAGTTCTCTTTTGTATTTTGTACCGTAAAATATTTTAAAATAAGCTTAGTACTTACATAGGATAGCAGATAAACTATTATTGTTTTTTATCTGTCTACTAATGATATATCAATTTAAATTGTCTTAATATTCAACCAGGATTTCAGTTTGTCTCAACTCAGCAGCCTACTTGCATAAACGTAATACTTGAATTGGGTTTTTTATTTTTCCCTTCATATAGGAGCTCATTTTTCTGCTCCCTAACATGAAAGTAGTAGTCATGTTATTACTCATTTATGTAATATAATTAAAGTATTGATTAGCTTTTGTTTGCTATAATTTGGATTCACTTTTAATACTAAAATTTCTTATTGCCCAAATTCCACTTTTAAAAATATTGCTCTTTTGTTTGTTTCATTATTTTCACAGAACATGGTTGGAGAATGGGCCTTACCAGAAGAAATGGTTGATAATTTACCACCCTCCAACAATTGCATTTTGGGCCATGTGCTTCACAGACTGATTGAAAAATCCTTTCCTCAAGTCGAATCAACAGTGCCAGAATTACCTTCATTCACTATTAAAGGATGCTTACTGGGGAAAACATTCAGTGGAAAAACTACTGCTCTAAAGTCTCTACAAAAAGGTAGAATTTCTTTCTTTTTTTAAATTCATTTTTTGGATTCTATTTGCATTGACTGTAGCTTCAATGACTATGTCTGTAGAAAACGTATATGAGGATCTGCTCGTATAGTGGGAAGCTCTGTCATCAAAAATCTTATAGAGTGATCATATAATTTATTGTCCTAGTCATATACTTTTAGGAAAGTCTTTTTTTTCACTTACTTTACCAATTGATTAAATGGGAAATTAATAATTTGTCACAAATATAAAAGAAATCCACTTAAAATTATGAAAGTTTTTATTTTTCACATGTTGAGTTATCACTCTCCCTTTAATGAGCCTTTGGCTTTTTCTGTAGAAGCTCTTTTGGTTAGAAGCACAGGTTTCCATCTGTCTAATTAGTTTTCTTCAATAATACTTACCTATTACTGTTTTCACTGGAAAACTCAAAATTTGCATTGAGACCAGTCCATCCTGAACCATTCCAAGGCAGAGAATAGGTCATTACTGAGATGTTAAAGGACCTTCCTAAAAAGTAGCTTGGCAAAAGCACAATGAGATATCACTTCCTACCCACTAGAATCGGTATTAAAAAAATACAGAAAATCATAAATGTTATTAGAGAAGTTGGAGCCTCAACCACTGCTGGTATGAATGTAAAATGTTGCAGCCACTATGGAAAGCAGTTTGGTGGTTCTTTAATAAGTTAAACAGAGAATTACAATATGACCCCAGCAATTCCACTACTGGATAAATACCCAAAGGGATTGAAAACAGGCGGTCAGAAAAAAAAAAAAAACTTGTACAGGAATAGGTAGCAGCACTATTCACAATAGCCAAAATATGGAAAATGATCTAAATTTCCCTTGCCTGATGAATGGATAGCAAAAGTGGTATATTCATATAATGCATACAATGGAATATTAACAAGCCATAACAAGGAGTGAAATACTAACACATGCTACAACATGGACGAATGTTGAAAACATGATGCTAAGTGAAAGAAGTTAGACACAAAAGGCCATATATTGTATGATCCTATTGATATGCATATCCAGAATAGGCAAATCCATAAAGACAGAAAGCAAATTAATGGTTACCAGGCACAGAGATAGGAAGTGACTGTTTAAAGGGTTCCCTTTTGGGGTGATGAACATTTTCTGGAACAAGATAGTGGTGATGGTTGAACAACATTGTGAATGACCTAAATACCACTGAAGTGTATCTTTTGGAAAGGCTAAAATGATTAAATTTGTATTATGTGAATTTTACCACAATAATAAAAAAGCAGCTTGATCCAAAAGACAGTTCTAGGAGGCCCTGAAGACACTGTTACAGGATGAAGCCAGCTCAGAAGGACATCGATGTCAATTTCTTAAATGAAAAGTTATTAATAAAATTGTCTTTTGTATTTTAGACTTTCCTATTCAGATACTTTCTATTGACACCCTTGTCCAAGAAGCTATCCGAGCATTTCATGACGATGAAAAAGTCAGCAAGGCCCAACCCATTCAGAAAGATGAAAAGGCTCTGCCAGATGCGCAGGAAAACAGTGAAGGAAGCCAGGCAAGTATGATTTTAGCTTCCTTTTCTGCACCTCCTGCATTAGAGATGTGAAGCTGGATGAAATCTGAAATATCGTCTAGGCCAGAGGTTGTGAAGGTCCAGAAAGTACATATTTTATGTTTTGGGGACCAAGAGGCAAAAATCAAGATACTATGTGGGTACTTATATAACAGAAAATTCCTCTCATCCAAACATAAACCGGTGGGCTGTCCAGGACAGTCTTCTGCAGCCATCTCCACTGGCTGGTAAGGCAGGTAAGGGAACGGAGGGGCTGAGCTGCCAGGGGTTGGAGGTAGTTAGGGTATGAATATTGCAGGTAATTCACCAAGTCTCCAGCTCCCGAAATGAAATTCCACCACAGAGAGCCTGGCAGTGGCCAACAGCTGAGTCACCATCGTGTGGTTGGAGGCTAATGCCAGCCCTGGCCAGTGGCTGAGGTGGGTGTAGAGTGGACTGGACAGTGGGCAGAGGGGAACCCCTGGCTAGTCCCCAGGCTCACAGTGCTATCCCAGAGTGATGCCCGGGGACCATATGAAAGTGGTCAGCCAGCTGAATTTGAACCTTGCAGCCTAGTTTTCAGACCTCTGATCTATACTAGTAGATCTCAGTTTGGGTGGGGGCAGTCTCTGTATGGTTTTACTGCATCATGGTGCCATGTTTTACGTGCAGCACATACCTATCAGTATTGCATTTTGCTACATTGTTGCGTGAAGATTCTAAGGCAGGAAATAGGAGAATGTGGCCCCACCTTGAGACCCATGCCGTGATCCAGTGCCCTCATTTTAAAGGAGAGACAGTAGGGACCCTAAGCATTAATTGATTTGCTCAGAGTCAGAAAGTTTGTTCATGGCTATGCTGTGACTGGAATCCCAGATTCTAAATCCAGTATTCTTTCTCCTACCTTATGCTGTCTCTGTAATTGAGTAATTAGCAGAGAGTCTAATCCAGATCATTTGCGTGGGCTGCAAAATAAATACCATTTAACCCTGAATTCTGAAAATAAATTGGGAGAAGTTTTCTTCCCTGTGAGCTGCCTCTTCTTCCATGTTGTACTCTTCATATTCTCATCAGCAGGATGATAATGTACATGTTTTTCTTTACTTCCCTTATGGTTATGACTGACACCTCCAGACTCTTCTTTCTAAGGTGGTTTTCCATAAACTCTATCTCTTTCTCAGCTCCCATTGTATTTTCAAAATGGCAGGGGCTGTATTTTGCATAATAAATGAAGGCCAATTGGATAACAGGTCATACCACCAATTACCCTGTATTTCTTTAAGTACAATTTATCATCAAATTTTGTTTCCAAAAATCATTTGTTCCCTCTCAAATATTATTAATATTTTTGGTAAAATAGTGTATTTTTCTCAAACCTTACATATAAAAATACAATTAATTATGTTATTAAAATATGACAATGTTAAAAATCTCTGAATGGGTGTGTGTGTGTGTGTGTGTGTTTTCTCCCCAAAGGATCTGAAAAATGTATTTTCAGCTGCTCCAGTTTCAGATGGAACATTACCAAAAACAGAAGATGAAACTATACTTAGTAAGTAAGACATATAAATAAATCACTCCTTATTTACATAAGAGAGACAAACAGTAAACACACATGTATGTGACACAAAAACACTTCCAGGGAAAGAAAGGGGAGTTATGCATAGTTGTCTGCATGGTCATTTGACAGGTAGCAACATAAGCACAGAAATCCTTAACTCTTCTTTACAACTAGAGGTAAGAGGCAAAAATCACAAAGAAATCTTTTCACATTCCTTCAAGTAGTTGCTCAGTTTTGTTGAGGTTGTGAAACCTCCAGAATAAATCGTTATCACTCTTCCTGGCTTTGTGAGGAGACAATATTTTATCGTTTCTTCTCACCTATGCAGGGCACCTCTCTCTGCGTGCTACTGCTTTGTTCACTGTGTTGAGGGAGGCTGCAAGGTCTGGCCGCTTCCATCCACCTGAACCCCCCTTTATCTCAAACATAACAAAGACTTACCTCACTTGGCATCTGGGCTTTAGTCCTTCAGATCCTTTGTAGAACCACTGAAGGAAAACAAGTTTAAATCTTAAGTATCTTTTCTATTTGTGCTAGTAAAGGTACACCGGATTCAATAGTTTCCTCATATTCTAGCATAAAGTTCAGGTCCTCCAGTGCGATCGTCATCATTGCTGTCACTGCTGGACAATGTGTGTTCATTATGAGCATTCAAGTCTCCTAGAGTTGTGTTGTCATCTTTTAAAAGAACATAATCTGGCCCTTATTTCAGTTGTTTGGTTCTTATGAAATAATTTTATTGATTTTTAAACTATTATAAGTATTGTATAATGTATCCTATCACAAAAGTCTAGCTAAGTATAAACACATACTGAAAACTTATTTTTTCTACAGAATGTAACTAAAAACTCTTGACTTCTAGAATTTTTTACTGTTAGATGTGTTCATTACCTATAACTTGATAATACAGGAAAATAAAAATATTATGAATTAACATTTTAACAACTTTTCTTGAGCAACTAGGCTAGTTTTCTGGAAAGAAAGCCTGAACTATGTGAAAGTATTTCTAATGATGTGGCTGTTAGTGAGCCATACTGGAAAGAAGTGGGTGGAGAACACCAAGCCGCACAGCGGCCAGGATCTTAGTGTTGTGGAGTGAAGGTAAAGGCTGTGCGGTGGCAATTCTGTTACCTCCTTCCTCTGAGTATCACAGACGTAGCTGGATCCAGTAACCCATCTGTCCACAAATACTAATGTGGTTGTTAGTTGTAAATACTGGAGTTTGTTCTTACCACTTTTCCTTTATTTAGGTACTGATTCTAATAAAACGCCAAACGGTGGAGAAGGCAAATCAAGTGGTAGTTTCTCTGAAGTAAGTACTATAATTTTGGCTACTAGGACACCAAAATGTGTCATGATTCATAGCCTTTTAGTGTGTTTTCAATTGGAATGAAATAACAATGTGTTCCTCTTTGTTTTAAAGTAAATCTGATGTTAAATATTAGCTAAATCTGAATTTACTTAATATTCTTTATATTCTTAAAATTGTTTATCTCTAAAGCAGTGGGAATTGCTACTCAGTTTTGCCAAGTAAGAAAGTAAACATGTGCTTTTTTATCTTAGACTTATGCCAAGTTTGTAGTTACATGTTTTTTCTTAGCACTTAATTTATGACTTTTATTTTCTCTCATACACTTTTCCTTTAAAGAATTTTTACAGAATTTATCCATAGACTTATTGGTTACTCTACAGAATTTTTATTAATCCCTAAAGAAATGTTGACAAAAATTTACTTATTATTTAACCTAATGGAAACTAATATTTCCATATACAGTATTGCTTTCCTATATATAGAAACTTTTTTTTTGTCCTCAAATAGGATGGCCAGATGAATCATTGGGTATTTCATTTACTTCATTTTTATTACATTTGATTACTTTTATTATGCATTTCATCATGGAAAACAATTGTATAATATTTTAGATTTCAAAACTGCTTCAAGATAGAGAAAGTTTTGGAAGAATGTACAGTAGACTGTAAACATGACAACTGATAGGGAGGAAAATGGGTTTAGAGAAAGTGATAAAGGAGGACTTACAATTTTTAGTCTGCATATTTGAAATAAAAATTAGCAGAAAGGCTAAATGTAGCTTTTATATTTATATTTATTGGGTTACAAATCTCCCAAATTCTGTATTCTATTCAGTTCAAAGGGGATACTTCTGCACATTGTTGCAATTATTTGGATTGCAAATACATCACTGACCAAAGAAACAGGGTTCCTAGATCTTAAGAAGTTTACATTCTAAGAGGAGAAGGATAATAAATTCTGAACACCTGAATAAATGAGTGGGATTACATGGTCTGTTAGATGGTAATGCTGCCAATAGAGAGGAAATGTAGAGTAGAGTAAGGAGGGCCAGGGGCTTAGGCCAGGGGGCAGGGAGAGGGAAGGTTGCAGTATTAAATGGAGTTGGCCTCCTTGGGAAAGTGAGGCTTAACTAGATTGAAAGAAGATTAAAAGAATCAGCCAGCTGGATCTGGGGAAACATTTCAGGCAGCAAGACTAGCTGGATGATGGTGATTAGGCAGAAAGGTGCCTGGCCAGCAAGGTGGGAGACTAGTAAGAGATGAGGATAGAGAGATGAGCAGGAAGGGAGAAGACACAGGTCAGCCTTATAGACAATGATTAAGACATTTGGAGCAAATGGGGAATCTTCACAGGATTTTGAGTAGATGTAATATTATATGACTTATAAAATACTCATTCTGGTAGCTGGGTTAAAATTGGCACTAGTGAAGTTCCTGTTTTGCTGGATTAGCCATCCTACAAATAACATTATAAATGCTGGACAAAGTAGAAAAACTAATTATTTGAGGGCCAAAAGCAGGTGGCAGAAAAAGCAAAGCAGCAAATAAGCAAGCAGCAAAAACCAAATGTATGAATTTGTCCACTGAATGAAGAGCATTAAACTGGGTAAGAGCCATATTTACACAGGTTATCCCAGAGGCATGCCCCCTCTGTGCGGCACGAAGAGCTAGAACTCAAGCAGAAAGGATCAATCATTTTTATTTTAAGTATTAGAGGGTGAAATTTGGGGATGCCAAAGCAGCTGAAAATTAAAAAAGAAAGATCTTGGAAGGGAGGGAGCCACAGAAGAGTGTCCTCAAAATCTGCAAATGCATTTTCCTGAAGGGCTTAGCTGGCTCCAGAATTGTGCCAAATGATCAGTGTCTTCACTAGAGAGCAAGACCACTTAAATTTTTTTCCTCCAAATACTTGGGTTCTGACTTTTAAATGAGCTGTATGCTACCATTCATTGTTTATTTTCACAGCTTACTGTGCGAGCTCAGCTTGGTGCAAAATCAGAAAAGTTGCTGAAAAAAGGAAAGAGCGTTTCTGACATGTTGCTAGTTAGCATCATGGCAAATGCTATTAAGTACGTATTAACTTTTGTGTCTTTTTAATATATTCCTTATCAGATAGGGGTATATAAAGAATAATATAGAAATATTTTTTATTTTTAATGTGTGAGAAAACTCCTCATCTACATAAGAAAACATGCAGCCAGATAATGTATGTTTTGGTATTTACATGCCTGTAACATTTTAGTTCCGCTACTTTGCCAAGCTTAATTTCATTCACCTAGGTGTGAATACAGGTCAGGTTCTACTCCCTGTGGGGAATCCAAGGAGAAATCCAATACTTGGAAAAGCTGAGGGACAGATTTGAGAGGGGAGAGAATGTACCTGTGTGCTTACAGGCCAATACTCTTCCTCGTTCTGTTTCATGGGGAGGGAGTAAACCTGGGATCCGAAGGCTGGGCAGCGCTGGGTAGGAAGGCAGTGGAAAATAGTGGTTGCACAGGCAGGAATTCATGTGTGCATAGCACAGAGATGATATGTGATAGAGAATAAAGGAAAAATTGACATTGGTGTAATGTTGTAATCTCTCCCTTTCTCCTTTCTATGGTTGAAGGATTCTTCTCAGCTCTCCTTTGTAATATAGAAAAAAGAGAAATTAATATAAGCCTTAGATGTTCAGTTAATCCATATAATAAAGAGATGAGGCTGGGCAGGATTTTAAAAAAGCATCAAAAAGGGTAAATGAGTATTGGAGTGCTGAGGGCAGGTGAGGAAATAGAATTAGGGTAGCTGTGCTGTGTGGGAAATACTAAGACTGAAAGAGGTGAGGAAAGGAGGTTTCAGAGAAGTTTTACTATATATCTGGAATGGACTCCTCTGAGGAATTTTCTTGAGACCTCATTAAAGATAAAAGTTGCCTCTCAGTTGTGATCTATTTTGGAATGATTGATTTCTCTTTGAAATCAGTGCTGAAGAAGTCAGACCACAGGTGTACTACCCTCAAAGCCGGAAAGGATCTCATTCTAATAGTTGTAACATCTGTAACTGGCTTAAGACATGTTTTAGCCATGGGACTCCTTGTTCAAAGAAAATTGTACATGAAAAGTATGAGCCATAAAGCAGATCTTAGCTTTGGTTTCTGTGGGGCTGGCGTATTTACACCCCATACTCAGAACTCCACTACCCTTCCACCACCACCACTCCTTGCCCCTAAGGCATCTTCAGAGTCCTGTCATCAGTTTGAAATCCTTTCATCTAGTCAAATACATCCTTTTCAACAAGGAAAGGAAGGCAGTCCAGTCAGGTATCGGGTTAGTGATGCATCCAGAGCCAAAGCCCAGGAGTCCTGTCTCCCCATCATCTGCTGTCCTCACACTGTGGCTGAACAAGAGTGACCCTGACCGCTTCCTCCCTCTGAAGTAGCTCCTGAGACTGTGGCGGGGAGAAGAGGTCACCCAGACCTAGTAAGGTTCTGAAGAAACTTCTCCCTCTTAGTTCAGTGAATCAGCAAACTTATCCTACGCAGAATGTTTTACCAAACTCTGGACAGGTTATAAAAGCAAAATGCAGTCTTTTCCTGCTCTTCATAAATCTGGGGAATAGAGGCAGTAACCTGAAGGCAGCTTGATTCTGTGGCATGATCACTGGATTTGGGGTCATTTCCAGTGTTTCCACTTTGACAAGTAATGAAACTTCTCTGAACTTCAGCTTTTCCCTTCCTTCCTTGCCACATTGTCACATGGATCACATGCAGACACCAAAGCAGACTTAACATACCTTTGGAAAGGGGATTCTATTGTTTAAAATGAGTTTTTAAGAGACAAATAAACAAAATTATAACTTTTAACCCCAAATCCAAAACCTCAGTTTTGTATAATTAAGAGTTTAGAAGAGCAAAGTTAAAGTTTCTGCTCTTTTCACATTGCTTTCCAATTTAAAGAACTGAAATAACTCTTGGTGCACCTGTTCTGTATAAGGGATGCTATACTGAGGGCAAAAACCCAAGAAATGATCCTTACCCTGAAGCAACTTATAATTTAATTGAGATAATGAAGACTCACTTGATATTTTTAACTCAACCAATAATAAAAATTACCAATTATATGATGAAGTGAATGAGAGCCAGAGGAGTTCAGTTCATGCGGTTATGACGCCACGCTGGAGTGGGTGGGGTAGGAGGTTTCCAGGCTGGCAATGTGAGTATCCACTATGTGCTGAGCTCTGTGCTGGGTCTTAAAGTGCATCATTTCAGTTCATCCTTGCAACCATCCTGTGAGGTATGTTATCTCGCTATATATAGATGAGGAAACAAGTTTAAAGGAGGAATTGTCTATGAACACAAGCTAGAAAATGCAGTTTGTACTCATATAATAGGAGATCAGTTTGAAGTAAATGATTCAAAATAGAAGTTATAGAGAAGTTGTGGCCAGTTAGTTTTAAATACCATGTTATGGTCTCTGAAATAGATTTAGAAGGCAGTAGGAGTGTACAGAAGATTTTAAACAAAGCAGTGTTTATGGTGCATTAATAAATCAAATTTTAGCTATAAAGTAATAAAATTCATGCAGAAGGAAGTTATTGCGGCACTGAAAGAAAAAGGCAAGCCTTACTGTATTATCATTCTCAAAGTACTTGTGTCTACCAAAATGTTAATGGTTTGTACATTTTTAATTTAGTCAGATACCTGCATATCAAGGCTGGATCCTTGATGGTTTTCCAATGACATTAAACCAAGCAAAGCTTCTGGAAGAAGCTCTGACAGGCTGCAACAGAGACCTTATTGAACTGGAGGGAAAGAAAACACCAATACCCACACTGGTTGTTGATACTACAACTTCTAAAGAAGTGCCTCTTCCCCCTTCTGCGTTTGATTTTGTTATGTTATTGGATATTTCAGATAATTCCTCGCTGAATCGCATGAATGACATCATGGGTAAGCTGAACACTTTTTCTTTTTTGATATACTTAATAGTTTAAAGCTCTGTTTATTTATTCTTTGACTGAATCTGTGAATTCCCCCTTAAAATTGTAAGTGAGAAGGAATAAAACAGCAGCAAACTCACAGACTCCAAGAAGGGACTAACAGTTACCAAAGGGGAGAGGTGGAGAGGGAGGGAGAAAGGGATTAAGGGGCATTATGATTGGCACACATGGTGTGAGGGGGGTCATGGGGAAGACAGTGTAGCACAGAGAAGACAAGTAGTGACTCTGTGGTTTCTTACTATGCTGATGGACAGTGGCTGCAATGAGGTGTGGGGGGGACCTGATAATATCAGTGAATGTAGTAACCACAGTGTTGATCATACGAAACCTTCATAAGACTGTATATTAATGATACCTTAATAAAAAAATTTTTTAATTGTAAGTGAATAATAAAGAATCCATTTCAGCATTCCTAAGAATTATTTAACAGAGCAGTTACTTCCTGCTTTGACTATTAGTATTCTGCACTGCAGGCCAAGCCTAGAACTAATGGAAAATTCCATGCCATCTGCAAGCATCTCACTGAACCTTTCCATCAACTTGGCAGCTCCCTTGGCAAAAAGAGGAGCCTTTTTTGAGACTTGCATGCATAGAGGAGCTTCTTGTGGCTATCCAGTACATCTTGGTGGGTAGCCCTGTGAAGGTTCTAGACCACATGTGTACTTCGAGGAAGGATCTGGTAGCACTGTTCCCTTGAATTATGTGTAACTCTGAGGAGCAGGTGTCAGTTGGCTGAAGTCCTCAGATGGTAGGGTTGAATAGCCTTGCCAAAATTTATTGTTTATTTAACTACTTTTCACTGTTGGAATGAAAGTATTAATGTATTCCACAAATTAAATGCTTACAGGTAAAAGCACATATTATTGAACCCTGGCTTTCCAATTATGAGGTCTTTGACCTTGAGAAAGGTACTTGATTGTTCTGAACCTTGGTTTCATTACCTGCATAATAGAACACCTTGTGTTGTTATGGATATTAAAGGAAAACTGTTTCTTTACTCAAAACACTTCTGAACTAAATGTGTGGGTTTTCCATACTACTGAATTATTCTAGTTCCCAACTGAGTGTCTTAAAATTTAGTTCATTTCTGGCATTACCTACCAAGAGTTAGTGCAGGTTCCACAGGTTAAGGACTCAGTCCCATAAGACTTCCCCCAGACTTCAGATGCCAGTCTCCATTAGTGGAGCCCCAGGTTATTCATGCTTCTGTCTGAGATGAAAATTGTGTTTTCCATAATTCTTCCTCAGTTTTGATAATTTACCATAATGGCTTGCAGAACTCAGGGAAACACTTTAGTTACTATTACTGGTTTATTATAAAGGGTATTATAAAACATACACATGAAGAGCCAGATGAAGAGGTACATTGGGCAAGGTCTGGAAGACTTCTAAACTCAGGAACTTCAGTCAACATGGACATCCTGGTATGTGGATGCATTTTCCAACCCAGAAGCCCTCCAAACCCCTTCAATAGAGTTTTTATGTAGGTTCTATTATATAGACATGACTGATTAAATCACTGGGCATTGGTGATTAACTCAGTCCCCAGCTCTTTCTCCTCCCTAGAAATCAGGGGATGAAGCTGAAAGTTCCAGACCCCTGAAAGTTCTAACTACCTAATTATCTAATTTGGTTCCTCTGGCAACCTGGCCCCAGCCTCCCAAAGTCACCTCATTAGCATAAATGCAGATAAAGTTGAAAGGAACTTTTTATAAAGACAAAAGATGTTCTTCTCATCCCTATCACTCATAAGAGTTTTTAGAGGTCTGTCAGGAGCCAGAGACAAAGACCAGATATATATTTATTATGTCACAATATCACAGGTATTAAACAAGGTAAATATATGTTAAACACAGGATAGATCTGGCACATGATGCTAAGCATGTAGCAAGCACATCAGGAAGCCTAAAGTGAACAAGAAACTATTGGATATCCTTTCAGTAGAAGACTGGGAATTATTGTCTGTGGGCCCCTATGAAGTATCTGGCTCATAGGGATCTGTGCCTTCCATTGGCCTTGCCTTGGCTCTGTCTCTGCTCTTCCATAACTCTATAAATTGTAGGAAAGTGAGAGTAATTCAAATGAATCCTTTTCATAGACATGCAAATGAAATTTATTCAGTCAAGATAACAATTTATGCACTTTCAAAAAGACTATTCCAAATATTACATTACTCTATACGTAGTAACTAGTTTTTTTTATCTATTTACATCTACTCCTGATTGCTTATAAATGTGTCTCTTATTCAGATTTTCATTTGAACTAGTGAAAGATCTTACTGGTTCCCTCATTAATTGAATAGTTACATTTGTTTTAGAGTCTTGATTCTACCTTTTTAAAAAACTGGAAAACTCCCAAGCTTGTTTATCAAATGGTACCATTTGGTTCCATTTATCATTCTTTTATTACTGCTGTTACTACAAATGAAGTGACATTTAAAGCTAGAGATTATCTATTCAGTGCCTTTATTTATAGGTGGGAATTTAAAGTGTGAGCACTTGACTTGTCCAAGATCACACTCATCCTTATTTTGAGTTTGTGTTATTTTGAGATCTTCTTTTCATCCTTTACTTAAACAAAATGACAAAACTATTAGATATTACTTCAACTGTTGGGCCCAGTAGTTAAACTTGGTTCTGTCCATCAAATCTCAAAAGGGACAGTTCACTTCTGTTCATTCTAGGGAGTAGGAGCTATCCTGACAGAAGTGATGATTCTGCTTGTTTAGCCAACACTTCCCATTCCCGTTCAGGACATAGTTGAGGATTAGCTGTGAGCATCAATAATCTGTGGTCATGTGGTAGTAGAACAGAGTCCTGAACTCAATATCAATCTGATTTGAAAGTGGATACAAACTGTTATAAAGTACACATACAGACCTGTGGGTGACAGAGTCTGAGAACTGATTACAGCCCTATAAGGGACTCAACAAGGTATACCTTCCCTGGTGGGACTCCACAGGAAGCATAGTGCTGTGTTTCAAAAAAAAAATTAAATCAATTAGCAAGAATTTTCAAGAAATCCAACTCAATCCAGTTTGAGTTCTCTCAATTCCCTATCAAAATAACATGATGAATGATTCTGGGTACTTTGTCAAAGCTGATGTTAGCATGTAGTTGTTTAATTTTTAAATCCTGGAACTAGTGACTTGTAACAGGCTTAAAACTGCCCTTTTTCCAATTCTCCAAGTAGAATTTCTCTTTTGTCACATTTTATGCATGTATACACATAAATAATCTTATTTAGTCTCATAAATTATTATTAAAGCACACTGTGATATTTTTTCTTTTTATTATGTATTTCTAATACTGTATGTTCCTAGGTCTAAAGTAAACTGAGCCTACTGCTATATTAGGGTCTCTAAGCCATGAAAACTAGTATTAAACCACTGATTTATGATTCTTACTTGTTTTGATCAGAACAGAGTGAGTGCACAACTTTGAAAATCAGTCCGCAGCTTTTGTATTCATTTTAAGTTAATAAAAAGTGTTGTTCTTTCATATCTTAAGATATTTCTTTCTTAGAATGTAAGATTTCAATGGCCTTTGAAAGATCATTTTGCCAATTTATACTTTTCTTCTTAAGCAGGACCCCCACACTAATTTAGACAAATGAAACTCTATCCTTCTAAAATACCTTGTTCATTCACATACTTATTTATTATTTATTGCATGTTTTCTAAGTGCCACACACTGTGGTAGGCATTAGTGATAGAGTAATAAAGAAGAAATGGGTCCTGCTTTCAAAGAGTTTAGTGGAAATTGTAGATAAGGAACCAAGGGGTTATAGTATAGAGCTGTGTGTCCAATATGGCAGCCACTAGCCACACGTGGCTTTTTAAAGTAATTAAAATCGATAAATTAAAAATTCAGTTCATCAGTCACAGTGGTCACATTTCATGTACACCTGTGGCTAGTATCAGGCAGCACTGATAGAGAGGATTTCCAGTGTCTCAGAAAATTCTCTTGGATTGTGCTAGTGTAGAGTGATGGGAGCTAAAATGGCACCACTAGTAAATATGTATCTAATATTTATAATGTGCCAGAAACTGACAATACAGAAATGAAAGGCAAGTCCCCATCCTCAAGTCACTGACACTGTAGCGTGAAAAGAAAAAATGAACTGATTATTGCAATATTGTCAGTTATGTGCTATAATATGTGTGCCCAGCATGAGAAGAGATTAACCAGGCCAAGATAGGAAGGTGGAGAGAAATACATTTACAAGGCTTGGCAGGTGAGAATGGTCCATCCAAAGAACAGCAATTACTGTTGATCCTTGAACTACACAGGTTTTAAGTGTGTGGGCCTACTTACATGCAGATTTTTTCAATAAAAGTATTGGAAAATTTTTTAGAGACTTGTGACAATTTGAAAAAACATTTATTTTCTCTAGCTTACTTTATTGTAAGAATACAGTATATAACATAGGTCATACAAAATATGTGTTGACTGTTTATATATCAGTAAGGTTTCTGGCCAACAGTAGGCTATAAATATCTAAGTTTTGGGGGAGCCAAAAGTTATATGTGGATTTTGACTTTGCAGAGGGTCAGTTCCCCTAACCCCAGTATTGTTGGGGTGTCAGTTGTACTTCAGTAGGGCTGAGAAGCAGCAAGGTATGGAGGAGTGGCAGAAATGAACCTAGAAAGTAGTCAGGGGCAAGCTCAGCAGCCTTCCCTCAAGCTAAAGTTCTAACTCCATCCTCAAGCCATGTGAAGTCACTGAATGATATTAAATCTAAAAGTTAATGCAACTAGACATACTTTTTATATAATGGTCATTCTCGCCGCAATGTGGAGGATGCATTGGAAGCAATGAAATGAGTTCCAAAACTATTACAGTCTAAAAGACATTAAGATAGCTGTAAAAGACAAGGTAGGAAGAGTCAGTGGTATTTAGGGGAAAAACTACAGAATTTAGTGATCATTGTTGGGATATGTGATGTAATACAGGGAGAAAAGGGTGACTTCAAATTTCTGGCTTGCACAACTTTTTGAACACTGGTACCATTCTCTTAGAGAATATGGAAAGAAATACATTGAGTTTCTTTAGGGACATATTGAACATAAAATGCCTGTGGGACTTTTACACCGAGATGTTCAGAGAAGAGTTCTACAGATGGGTCTAGATGTCAGGAGGGAAGTGTGCACCAACATTAAGGATTTGAAGGTGAAAGAAATCATCTAGGGAGAAAAATATATTTTCAAAAAGAAGTCCAGTATGATACCCAAGAAAACATCAGCATTTAATGGGCAGGACAAAGGAAGAAGTGTTTAGAAGAAACAGCTAGAAAGAGAAGAAGCAATCCAAAGAGAGGAGTGTCTCATAAGCCAAGGAAAGACAGATTTTCAAAATAAAGGTGTTGTACTATGCCCCTCCAGCCCCAGATCAGTAGGGGCTGTGGTCCTGAGGCCCAGGCTGGGGTGTGGGAGCCTAGTCACTAGGGTTGGGTGCAGTGGGTTGTCCTTCAATGCTTGGTTTCCATGGAGAAGATTTAACAGAACAGTATCACAGGGAAGCAGCCAAATCAATGGGGCTTAAAGGCTGAACGTCAGCCCAACCACAGCTAAACAGAGTAATGGACCAAACTCAATGCTGACAGGCAGGATAGCAGGGAGACCTGAAGAGAGGGAATAGCCCATGTGGGAGCAGAGGCTGTGTCAGAGTGGAAGAGTAGGTGGCTGCCTGGGCTTTCAGTCAGTGCCTTGGGCCGCTGGCCAGCCTGAGGAGCAGCAGCACTGTTCACAACACTGAGTGGTGCAGCAATGTTTGCAGTGCAAGTTCTGGATGGTTAACTTCCTAACTGACAGTGACAGGAAAGAAACGCGAAGGTTCTTCCAAGGCTGATGTTTGTTAATCTGGGCTTTCAGTTTGTGAGGTCAATGAGCTGTATATGTGTATGCATTCTTTTTGGCAAGCATAATTCAATAAACAGTTTTAAAACTGAAAAGAAGTTCAGAACTTGGAGTCAGATGTACTGGAATCAAATCCCTTCTCTGCTATATATAAATTGTGCAATTTGGGACCAATAACAGAATCACAATCCTGCTTTACAAGTTTTGTTGTGAAAATAAAATATATGTGTAAAAACATTTAAGAATTGTGCATTAATTTTACTTATAAATGTGACAGAGAAATCAAGCAAGATAAGGACTGAAACATGACTATTGTCCTTGATGTTGCTGGTGATCTGAAAGAGGGCTGTTTTAATGCAGGGAGGACAGGGAAGGGTGGATGGCAGTGCACTGAGGCATGAATGGGAGGTGAGCAGGTGGAGAATTGAGTGGAGATAATTCTCAAGAAGTTTGTCTCTGAGAGAAAGAAAAAAGCCATAGCAACAGGATATTTATTATTATTATTTTAGTATTCTCTCTATTTTAGGAAAGAGTGCATATGTATGAAAGAGCTTAACTGATTTTTGAGCCAGGGACTTAGTGAGGTTATAGTGAGGGTATATGTTTTTCCTGAAAGATGTCTACCAGTTTCAGTGTGGTCTTGGAAAGAGAGATGAATATCATCAAAGGCTGGTGTAGCAGGACACAAATTGAAGTTGTTACATGAGGGAGAGAAGCCGAAGTGTTCAACCATGTGACTAAGGTGTGCTAGAAAATAAAGTGAAGTCAGGATAATGCTGGTCAATTTGGGGAAAAGAATGGAGGAATTTAGGGACTGGATGATATTGGAGAGATTCATTGGCTCTTTGGGAGTGCTGGGAGGATAAATAGTAGCAGAACAGGTCATTAAGATTGCAGAGATGGAGACATTCAAGGTGACTACAAATTCTAGGGTGTGGCCACGGTAGTAAGTGCTGGAATGGAGCCAAGGGAAAGGACCCAATGCTTGGGTGGGGTTTGGGAAGAGCAAAATGCTGATGCATGTGCCAAAGTTCTTGACAAGTATGACAGAGTGACCAGGAGATGGTGTGCATGTTAGCATCTCCTGAGAAGAACTCCCATAGTCTTTGGTCACCCATTCCAGATGTCAGTAATCTTCTGAATTCGTCCATAATGTAAAAGCATCATTCTGTATTCTAAATCTGCTTCCTTTTTTAAAATCATGAATGTAGATGGAAAACAATTGATTACTAGACTCTGTGAAGATCCTTCATTTTACTGAACACCATTAATTCACTCTTCCATGTTCTCCTGCATTGCCAGAGTAATTATAATTCCACTGAATATTGCTTAAGGCTTTCTTTCCTCTTTAAGATTTTCCATTTATTCTAAGTCCACAGGTATTCTGGATTGTGTACTATTAATTCTGAATAGGACTCTATCAGAGCTGTTGAGGTTGTTTTTTGTTTGCTTTTGGTCTCTTGTGGTTGATTCCTTATGTCTGTTCTATAGGGAAAGATCATAAAGTCTAGAAAGAAAGTAACTGCTTTATTGTAATATAATACTAACAAATATTTTTATGCATATTTGACTTTATGGTCACCGTGCTATTTCATTCTTAATTTTTATATCATAGTGTTGATTTCTAATTGTTTTCTAGTTTGTTATTCATGATACACATCACTTCATTCTCATCTTCTCTTAGTCCTGAGATGCTCTACATTGAAACTACAGCTCCTCTTTGAAGTTGCATTTTACCTCCTTTTCCCCAATTTCAAAGGAAAATTTGAATTCTGATCCAAAAATTATACTCTTTCAACATCTTGTTAAACATTTTAATTAATATTAGACCCATGGCAGAACCAAATATTAGACCCATTTGACTGTCTTACATCAGTACATTTTAGCAGTATTAGTGCAACTTTGACTGGTTTAGCAAATTATCTGATTAAATAATTTTTGTATCATAGCTGAAGCATTTTCAAGTAAAACTCCTCATGAAGATATCAGTCAATGTGTCGCTGCCAAAAACCCAGATATGGATGAAGACCAGAATTTAAGAGACCAAATACAGCATCGGTTAGTTAAAAACTCAGTGTCCTGTTTCTTGTTTCTTGCCCTTTCAGCAGACTGACAATTAATCACTTTGGAATCATCAGCTCTAGAAATAATATGTATTTCCTAGCATTCAGTCTTTTACAGGTACAGCAAAACAAAGCAGTTCAGGTGTTGAGTGAAATACTCATGTGCTTTCATATTCAAAGTACAAGTTATCATAGTGTTGGAAGAAAAGAATTAAAATCAGGTGGCATTCCCCTTTATGGTTACATGAATTTACAAGTTCACTATGTGTAATCCTAATTCAGCCCTCATTCAGCAAATGCCAGTGAAGATCATGGAATTTCAAAGAGCTAGCTATCAGACTATAGTGTAATTCTAAAACTACTTCTGTTTTGCTACAGTGAAGTTATGCTTTAAAAAAAACACTCATTCTTTTGGTTGTGTCCAATTTGCTTATTGGAAAGAAAATTTAGACAAAATTGGACAATTTTATGAAACCCTGAGAAGAGGAATTTGAGCTACATTAAATCTGTCTACTCTCAAGGACGAGAAGATTTCAAAAATCATTCCAAGAATATATTTGAGTAAAACAAATAAGCCCCAACAATCTATACTTACTCAAAGATCTCTTCAGTTTCTGTCTCTAAGAAAAAAGCAAATAACTTAGGTGGTTCAAGCTGCAGCTACTGTAAGAAATGGGCTCAGAGTTATTCTGCTATGAGTGAAGGTGATGTTTCTTGAGATTCTCACTTAGGCAAATGAACTTAAATGGTTCTGTGGCATTCACTGAAATGGTGGCATTTGCAAATCTTATTCTTTCATATATCTGAAAAAATATGTAATATGAAAAAATATGGCTTCAATAATTTCTCTTTCAAGTGAATAATATTCCATTGCCTATATCTCTTTAGAGTTGCTTTTTCAGTTTTACCTATATTGACAGCTTATTTTTTCATTATGCATATCACATAAATCATGCTTAATGGTACTAACATATTTCAATTAGCATGTGATTTTGATACATTATTTTGGTTTTGCAGAATTATAGGCTTCTTGGACAACTGGCCTTTATTGGAACAATGGTTTACAGAGCCAGAAAATATTTTGATAAAAATCAATGCTGAAACAGATAAAGAGTCTGTATGCCAAAAAGTAAAAGAAATATTTATGACTGAAATAATGAAAAAGGAGAATAGAGGTAATTACATTTTTTTATAACTTTGAGCTTATGCAACTAAGTATGTGGTTTTAATGAGTTAAGGAGGAAATGAAAGTGTGTTTGCAAAGTCCCCTCTTCTGTTTGGATTATAGTAGCTACAAGTGTCTTCTAATTCTGATTTTAGCTTTCTGCTGCAAATATTTCTAAATAAGAGATCTCTTTCTTCTGTTTTAATTTAATTTAATCAAAAGAGGTCATCTCACTGAGCACCTTGTTTTCATGTGAAAAAAATAGAGTTAAAAGGATATTATAGAGAAGGGTAAAGATTTCAATCTGTTAACATCAGCATTATAAGGAAATAGTGAGTGAATTCTACTTTTAGGACAGAAACACTAGGCAGTTTACATCCCCCAAAATCTTCTTGTGTTGATATGAATTTCCTGATTATTTACTTATTTATAAGCTTGCCCCTAGGGTATATCTCACCAGCATTCAACCATCCTGACCTCCTTCCTCCTTCATTCAACTAATAATAATTGCCCATTAACTTTTCTTAGTATTATTGGAATTTATTATTGAAAGGGATCTTAGGTTCACATACTGCCAATGCCATACTTCAGATGAGATTGTGCCTTTCAGAAAATATTTGAGAAATAAATGTTTCCCTCATGTTTATCAGTCATCCCTAATTATATTGGCAACTACAGTTTCTGGGTATAATAATACTGGCCAAAGTTAAAAACATCACAAGGATTCCAGAACTGCCTAGATAGCATGCTGTCTCCTGTCACTAGATTTATGACCTAACTACCATAGTGCATCAATCAACTGACACTAAAATATCATAGAAGTATAAGCCAAAAAACGATAGGGATCCAGGAGCTCAGGCTTAGACAGACAAGCTTCCTCATCACTTCCAGAAAACACCCATGTGAAGCTTTCAGACAAAATAAAAGCCAGTCCATATATTTAAGAAGCTTAGCATGTTATTTGACAGAAATTAGGCTGAAGGGAGGAACGAAGCCTCCCACAGCAATCCTTGTCTTGGTTGGGAGGCAAAGCCAAACTGATTATAAGCTTTTACAGCTGAGAATCAGTTTGTTTTTGCCAGCTACTTCAACACTTCCCTAGTTTACATTCTAATCACTTATTAACGGTTTCAGTTGCCACTCATTGAAGATTTACGTTCCAATCAGTTCATTACTCTAGCAAATATCATTAAAACAATAAGCATTTACTTAGCCCAGTACTCTCTATTAAACATCCCATTAAGTAAAAAAATGAAAAATAAAATGTGCGTGATATATATTCCGATGTGGAAAAAATAACCAAAATATGTTGTTAAGTAGGAATAAGAAGATTATACATAAAATATTTCTTTCTGTTTTTGCTTTTAAAAGTATGTCTATGTATTCAATATATATGCCCAGAAAATAGTCTGGCAGAATATATAATACTAGATGGTGGGAGAAGGAGGACAAAGAGAATAAACAATTTCCTTTCCACCTGCCTAAATTGTTAGATTTTTAAAAAACAATTATATATTACTTTATAATCTGAAAAAG